AGGTCATGAAATTGAGCCCCATGTTGGGCTCAGCATGGAGTCTGCTTGGGATTCTCTCCCTCTGCCCCTCCCCTCATTCATGCGTGCACTCGTATGTGCTCTCTCTCTCTTTCACTAAGTAAATAATCTTCAAAAGTAAAAAGTAAAAAGAAAGAAATCTTGCCATTTATGACAGCATAGATGAAACTGGAGGGCATTATGCTAATAAGAAACCAGACGCAGAAAAACAAATACTGTATGATCTCATATGTGGAATCTACAAATAGTCAAATACATAGAGGCAGAAAGTAGAATGGTAGTTATCAGGGGTTGGGGTAGAAAGAAATGGAGAGATGTTGGTCAGGCATACAAAGTTTCAGTTATGCAAGATGAATAAGTTCTGGAGATCTAATGTACAACAATGTGATTATAGTTAACAGTAACATATTGTATATTTAAAATTTGCCAAGAGGGAGGATCTTAAGTGTTCTCACCATACACACACACAGAAAAGAAAATGTAACTATGTGAGATGATAGATATGTTAATTTACTTGATTGTGACGGTTACTTCACAGTGTATGCATGTATCAAATCAGAAACTTGTACATCTTAAATATATATTATGTTTAATTGTCAATTATACATCAATAAAGCAGGGGAAAAAATAAAGGGGAATCAAAGAGAAAAGTTCAGGACCAAGAGAGATATTTCACATTGATACAAAGATAGATTACCAAGAATATATTAGAGTTAAGAATGTGTATGAGCCAACAACAGAGTTTTAAAAAAAATCTTTATTGATATATAATTCACATACCATGCATTTCACTAATTTAAACTGTACAAGTCAATGTTTTTAGTATAATCACAGATGTGTGCAACAGTTTTAGAACATTTTCATCACCCCAAAAAGAAACCTCATACCCCTTAGATATCATCTCTGTACCCCACCCATTCATCCCTTAGTCCTAAACAACAAATACACTCAACATCTCTATAGAATCTCTCCCTTTCCACAGGGCTTTCTGGTGTTAATTGTTGAAGGTTGCTGTTGTCTATTTCCAAACTAGCTTTGCAAAGATTGTAATCCCTGTCCTGTATGCTCACTGAAGCTTCTGTTCTGTTATCTCAGCAGTGAGCTAGGAAACAGAATATATTTCCTTAAATGCCTGGAGACAAAAAGAAAAAAAAAAACAAACCTCCCTTGGTCTTTGCATATTGGCTCTGGACTAGGGTACTCCTTAAATGCTAAGCCAAGCTAACTACAACTCTGCCTTAGCTTTCACGTCCTACTTAAGTGGAGTCCAAAGATCAGCCAGAGATGTAAATCTAGGGTCCTCTCAGGTCTTTTGTGAGCATGTGTCTGCCCCCTGGGGAATGCACATTGCATTCCAGATCCCCCAGTCCTGCACTGTTCTTGGTCCCCTAAGAATCTTCCTCCTCAGCTTCCTTATACCCAGGCTTTTGGGCCTGTCTGCTCTTTGCTTCATCCTTCATCCCTTGCCCCAGGCAGCAATGGGTACCATATGGCTTTACTGCTTCCATCAGATGCCACTCAGAAAGCCAGTCTAACCTGAGGCAGGCAAAATATAGATCAGTCTCTGTGCTAGTCCCTTAGGTCAAATGCATGACCACAGTTTTTGAGAGTAGAGTCCATATGGCTTTCCCCGGCACCAATACATTGTACCAGGAATGGGCCATCCACAAGGCTGCCATTGATCTTGGGGAATGGGATGCTAGGCAGGTAAGCAAAAACCACACAATGTCTCCTACCAAAATTCAGTTGCTTTTTTCCTTATTAAGCACTTGCTGTTTGACACAGGCATTTGATTAGGTTCCAAAGTTCCAAAAAAGTTGATTGTGTATGTTTTTGCTAGCTGAATTCTTTCTTTTTAAAGATTTTATTTACTTATTTGTGAGAGAAAGAGAGCGAGAGAGAGAGCAGGGGGTAGGGGCAGAGGGAGAGGGAGAAGCAGACTCCCCACTGAGCAGGGAACCTTATGTGGAGCTCAGGTCCAGGACCCTGGGATCATGACCTGAGCCAAAGGCAGACACCTAACTGACTGAGCCACCCAGGCACCCCTGCTAGCAGAATTCTTGCTGGGGAGACCAGTTCTTGCAAGGAAACCATTCTTGGAGCTCTCTACTAATCCCATGTCACTTGTCTTGCAAGTACTTTGGAAAACAGTTTGGCACTATGTGGTAAATCTAAAGATATACAAACCAGGAATTCTATTGCTTGTTATTTACCCTAGATCAGTGATTCTCAACCGGGGTAAATTTTGCTTCTCCAGTAACATATAGAAATGCCTGGAGACATTTCACAACTGTGGCCATGCCACTAGCATGTGGTGGGTAAAAGCCATGGATGCTGCCAAACATCCTAAATACATAAGATAGTTCCCTCTCGCGCTGATCCCCCACCATCTACAACAAAAGATTATCTGTCCCTAAATATCAAAATTGCCAAGAAACCCTCATCTAGAGAAATGAGTACTCACATGCACAGGGAAAATGCTCACAACTGCATTGTTTTATAATCGTTCTAAACAGGAAATGATTCAAACAACCCAAATGCCCAACAGTGGAATGGATATATTCTTGTATATATATTCAATAGAATACTTAATAGAAATGAAAATTAATGAGCTATAAAAATTATATAAAAAAGAGTAAGAAAGTGTTTTTTTATAAATATTAAGATAGTGGTCATTGGAGAAGGGGGAAGTTAATATTGGGAAAGGACACATGATCTCTTCAGGGCTTTTGGCAATGTTCTATTGCTTGAACTAGGTGGTGTTTACATAGGTGTTCACTTTTTAAAAACCGTACATTTATATTTTTCTACTTATATGTATATTTCATATTAGACTAGATAAAACTTATAATTACAGTTTTTCTTCTTCTATCACACTCCCTACTTTGACAGGTCATATTCTTATTTGTATCTTCAAACTGACCATCAAGTCTGAGAACGTATGTTCATTCATTCAATCAAGGCTCAATATTGAATATCCACTACAAGCAGGAACTGTTCTAAAGAGTAGGAACACAGAGAGGGAACAAGATAGACGTCTTGCATTCCAGGGTGAAGAGACAGGATGTAATTAATATACCAAAAATTGTAAAAGATAATTTCAAGGGCCATTAGGTATTTGAAAACAGGACAGTTATAAGAGAGATTATAAAGACTGTGGTGAGAAAGAGTAACGGGGGTGAGATATTTCAAATTGAATGGTCAGTGAAGGCTTCAGTCAAGATGACATTTGGGGAGATAAGTGACCTGTTTCAAGCAAAGAAATGGGAAGTGTGAAGTTCTAGAGGAAGAATATTCTTAAAAAAAGGAAACAGTTGTTGTTGAGGCTCTTAAGTAGGAAAGTGTTCAACATGTTTAAGGAACCTCATGAAATAAAGCATGGCTAGCGTGGATTGGTTGAGGGAAGAGGGTAGGAGATGAAGTTAGTGCAGGAGGCAAGATCTCCATCAGGGAAAGTCTGGATCTTTTTCCAAGTGCCATGAGAAGCCACTGAAATGCTGCTGTTGTGTAGACTGTAGGAGAGAAGACAGGTGGCATGGAGACTAACTTAGGCAAGAGATGACGGTGACTGTGAGGCAGAGACGGCGACAAATGGATAGACTCAGGATTTATTTAAAGATAGAGTCCAGAACATGTGGTATGAGGAAAGGAGAGAATCAAGGATGATTCCTAGGTTTTTGTCCTGAACAACGAACGAAAAATGGGAACTTTTGCTGGGATGAGGAAAACTGGTGAGTGAGCATGACATTTGAATCAAGGAGCTGAGATACCCTTCAACAGATGAGTGGATAAAGAAGATGTGGTTCATATATACAATGGACTATTACTCGGCCATCAGAAAGGATGAATACCTACCATTTGCATCAACATGGATGGAACTGGAGGGGATTATACTAAGTGAAATAAGTCAAGCAGAGAAAGAATTGTCATATGATTTCACTCATATGTGGAACATAAGGAATAGAGTGGAGGCCCACAGGGGAAGGGAGGAAAAACTGAATGGGAAGAAATCAGAGAGGGAGACAAGCCATGAGAGATTCTGGACTCCAAGAAACAAACTGAGGGTTACAGAAGTGGGGGGGATGGGGTAACCGAGTGATGGGTATTAAGGAGGGCACGTGTTGGGATGAGCACTGGGTGTTATACACAACTAATGAATCGTTGAACACTACAGCAAAAACTAATGATGTACTATATGCTAGCCAACTGAACATAAACAACAACAACAACAACAACAACAACAAAAGTCTTATTTGGGCTTTATTAAGTTTCAAATACCTGTTAGACATTCAAAGGAGATGTCAGATTGGCTGTTGAACATGTCTCCATAGATTTAATGCGCTGGATTTGAGGATATCTAAAGTCCCCTTCAACCATATTAAACACATGGAACAAATTGCGAATCAATTTAATAAATTAGAGTATACACACAATGCTATTCCATGAATTGGCATGCAAAGATAATTTTTAATTGAAACAAGTAGGTTATAAAAGTGCATATGGTTTGCTTCAATTTTTAAGAATACAATATATTATAATATATATTTCACTGGAAGCAGATAAACTAGAATATAAACTGTAGTTACCTGTGCTGGGATTTAGTGTGGTTTTAATTCTTGCTATCATTAGTTTAAAATGTCTTTAATAATCCTGTATTACCTGTGTAATCTGTTTCTTAAATAAAGTAAATCCACAAAGGTCTCTTCCAGCTGGGCAGCCTGTGGCTGGGTTATTTGTCAGGTGAGGGATGTCAAGGTGATCAGGGTGATGATGGTCCAGATGCAAAGTGTGAAAGGCGAAGAGGCCCCGCCCAAGAGCATAGGCGCGGGTCGGAGTGGGGGCGCAGGGGGAGGTCCAAACGGCACCGCCCTGCACGTCACGTGCTCGAAAGCCGCCAATGGCCGCCTCCGAGCCCACCTTGGGAACGGGGCGGGGCGCCCAGCTGGCGTCACCAGGACAACGGGCGTTGCCGGCGCCTTGTGACTCCGGGCTGTGGGCGCGCTCGCGGCTCTTCGGCCATGGTGAGTCTGGGGCCCGAACCGGTTGGGCCGCCCTCCCCTTCCCCGCCCGGACTGAGCCCCCGCGCGGCCGCTGCTCGGTTCCGGCGGGCGGCGCCGAGGTCGTGGAGAGGCCGGGCTGCGGCCTTCGGGACTGCGGGGCAGGGCAGGACTGGGCGGGCCCGGGGGAAGAGGAGCCCCGGGGGGCCCCGGAGCGCCCGCCTGTTCGGGGGCGCCCGCGACGCAGCGTTGTCTGCGTTTAAGGTCTGGGCCTCCGCTGGGACCCCTATCCTGTGGGCCGCCGGACAGCGTGACGCTTTTTGGTCCCAGCGAGCCTGTGAAGCCACCCAGAGAGGGTGTGGTTTTTTTTTTTAAAGGGATATCTGTATCATATTCATATTAACACTATATTGCAGTCTGTGTGCTACCTGTCTTGTGTCTACGCAATTATATATAAATAATACATAATAGGTATTTCTTTAAAATTCATCATTGACAGGATTTTTAGCGCGTGGGGAAATTTAAATATGTAATTTTGGATTTTCCCTCCTCCTCTTCAAAAAAAAATGGCATTAAGCTGGAGGTTTTTTCCTGTGCGCAGCCCTTTAAGGGATTTAATTAGTAATTAGTACATTGTAAACGTCTTAAATCACTCTTTTATTCAGTAAACTTGAGAGTGAGTGGGCGTACCACCTGGCCCCCATTAAGCTCGTTTTTTAAAAACCTGACGTGAAGACTCAGCAGGGGTGTTGGCTTGGCTAGACAGGATTCAAGGAATTGCTGACCAAAGGTGTGATATCTCCGGAGGCCTCCAAAGGGAGTAAAAGAAGAGAGGAGCTGGACTCTGCTGGGGACACACCTTTGATATAGAATATTTGAGAGGGGTTTGGGGTGGGTAATAAGAAAATGCCTGGTTTTAAGGAACAGTTTTTTTAACCATCACTAGTGTAGATCTGCTCTTTATCTACAGTGGAAGTGCTAATAAGCTGAGAAGGCAGGGGGCTTCCCACGTGCCAGTTGGCCTGGAGAGAAAACCTGCCATTTGGAACCCTGGCAGACTCTTTTTTTTTTGATAACTAGGGAAAGGCATGGTAGGAAGAGAAAGGTGGCTGGTCTGTATCATTGGCTGGTCTGTATCTATCATTGGTGGCCCAGATATGTGGCCTTTTGATGGTAGGGGGAAAAACCATTACCCACAAGTAATAGAAATGCGGGCTTTATTTTGTGTATGTTTCTTTAATTCTGAATTGCTTTTAAGTGACCCTGCAAAAGTTTCAGAAAATGAATTTTACAAAAATCTGAGTGTTGTAAATGTTGCAGTGACTTTTCTATATTATATGTGGAAAAGCTCTTACAATTATAGCAAAGAGAAAGGAAGAATATTCAGGAATTTACAGCTCACTGAAGTCTCACGTTCCTCCTGTTTCCCATTTTCCTTTTCTTCTCTCCTTCCATCCTGACCCACAGTCCACCTTGATTCACTATTGTGCATTTTAGAGTTTTATTTACTTTAAAAGCATTCTATTATACTTGTGTACTTGTTGCTTTGTTAAACTTAGAAATTTTTTTGCTTTTTGTCTATTTTTAAACATTAAGAATTTCATTCATGGAAGGCATTTAATTTTATGATGAGCTGATGCCTAGGCTCCAACGAAAGTAGGGAATGGTTGGTATGTATAGGAGGGGGAATGAGGAAACTGCCTGTGTAATCCCTCAAACTGTAGTCAAGATTGTTAACATTATCGTTCATTAAATGCTTGAATCTAAACATACAGCTTTAGCAGTTGATATGAATTACTTTGCACATGAATTTGGAACAATGCTTAACTATCTCTCAATGAAAATTTCTTCAATTAAGCCACTTGTTTCTATTCTATAATGACAGCTGGCATTTATTATGTACATTCTGAGTGAGATATTTTTCCAAGCATCTTATGTGTCTTATTTAACCATCACAACAACCCTATGTGGAAGATAACATTTCCTCACTTTAGAGATGAGCAAATTGAGGCACAGAATGGTAGAGTAACTTGCCCAGGTCACCCAGCTGTTAAGTGAGATTTCAAAACCAGGCAGATTGTCTCAGAACCCGCTTATGTAAACACTGGATTATACTGTAACATATAGTGCATCAGTATATGTTCCCCCAATATATATGCCAGGTATATGTTAGGAAATTTGTTTTCCTATTTGGATTTTAATATTTTTGAGCACTTTGGAATACTTGTATTTTGTGATTGCTGGCACTGAGCTAGATGCTACAGAACAGGGTAGGCATGCCTAGCCTTCTCTTACTTTTCTCTCCCCTTTTTTACAAAGATGAAATGAAGAGGAATTAATGAAGACAGATTGTTGGATTGGGGTTCATACTCATGGCTGTAATAGCATTGAAAGTTTCTCCTGTCATTTCACTTTGCATTCAGGAATTGACACATGCTTTTTGTGAATCACAAAGACCAGTGTTTTACATAAAGCCATTTAGACTTGGAGGATGAATATATTTAAAAAAAATAAAATTCTATTTTCTGAGATTTTTCCTCATAGTAATTTTAATATACGTTTTAGTTGTATATTTTGAAAATTGTTTCAAAAAGACAGCAATTTGATTCATATGGATCAAAATATACATTGGGATACCTTTTGTCATGTTTTTGCTCTTGCCTAATACTTTAGCTTGTAAGGCAGATTTTTTTTTCTCAGAAATATGACATTGTATCATTACTGTTTTCCCATTTTGATTCATTCACTTGGACTTTCCCCCTGTTTTGGCACTTCACTTTCTGTGTTTATCTGTGGTTAGGATTTGTCAGAGGTGTTGGGAAGCACAAGGTGGGGGGAAACTACAATAAAATATACCAAGATTTACAGTTTTGGTCTATTTGCTATCACATGGTATAGTTAAGAGAGCTAATATGTTTATATAATGAGATCTATGTTAATAGATCGTAAAAAGAATATATTTTCCTTCTGTTAACAATATTGGTCTCCTTTTGGTCTGCACTGGAATGGGGATGGAGCATAATTTTTAGAACTGTAGCAATAACTTTTTCATAGAGCCTTTCCACACTGTCCAGTTTTAGGCTGATCACTTCACATTTATCTCATTTAATCTTTCCACGTACCTCTGAGATTATTATTATCCCCGTTTAGCAGGCCCAGATTGATGAGGTAATTTGTCCAAGGCCACATACTGAGTGGCAGAGCCTGGATTTGAACTCAGCCAGTCTGACCCTAACTTCTGGCCTCTTAACCATTATTCCATGGCTTCTTTCCCAACTAAAGATTGTTCCCAGTGCCTGGCATGAATGTACTTCTCCAAGATTAAGAGTTTCAGTGTTTTATCAGCTGAGCCAGCAAGCTCTTTTTTATTTATGACAAACGCTTTATCATGATGTTGTTTAATGACATCCTGCAGGATTTACTTGGCTCCCCACTCCCAGCCCCTTAATAGTGCAGACAGCCAAAGCTCAAATATGGCCAGCCATGGGTTGGACTGCACTTTTACCTCTGCCTTCCCTGCCGCATTTTGTGTCTCACCTCTACCCTGTGTAGGGTCTACTACCACCACCTCCAGCACTGGGGTGGCTATGGGGACAAAAACAGGACAGACCAGACAGAGAGCGGAACAGGGCAGTTGTTGGGAGAGTTTTTGTGGAGTCAGAATCGAGGTTCAAACCCAGCTTTTTGAGTTCTCAGTGCTGCCCCTACAATTGTCTTTCCATTAAATTTTCTGTTCTGTGGTTTTCTATCCAACAAAGGTTTATTGTGTGCTACTATGTGCTAGTCACTCTTGTAGGCAGTGGGTATCCAACAATGACACAGGCGAGGCTCTATGCTTATGGAGCTTACGTTGTGGTGGCAGGAAGGCATAATAAACATACGGATAAGGTCCTAAAAGTGCTTTGGAGAAAAAGCTGAGTGAGAAAGGAAATTTTAGGGCAGGATGGGAGAGTGGATGAGAGGAGGGAGAAGTTGCTTTTCATATAGAGTGGAAGGGAAGGCCTCTCTGATAAGATGACATTTGAGCAGAGGGTATTTCATGGGCATACCTGGAGAAAGGCCATTTCAGGAGAGGACCCAAATGCAAAAGTCCTGAGGCAAGATCATGTCTGGTGTGTTGGAGGAACTGCAAGGAAATCAGTGTGGCTGGAGTGTCATAAGACGGGTGCATGGTAGGAGGTAAGATGAAAGTAGTTAGGCCAAATCACATAGGATTTATAAACCATTTGAAGGACTTGGCCTTTCCCTTTGTGAGAAGGGGAAGCAATTGGCAGGTGAAGGAGAATGACATCATATGACTTTTAAAAGAACCATTCTGTCTGTTCTGTGGAAACTACATTTGGGGTATGAGTGAGGGGAGAAAGGACAAAAACAGAGGACACTAGATGGGACATTATTGCAGTAATCCATAGGATTAGTTGATGGATTCATTGTGGAATAGAAAAGAAAGTCAAGGATGACTTCCATGATTTGAGCCTGAGTGATAGGAAGGAGTTGTCATCTACTGAGATGAAGACCAAGGTACAGATAAAGAAATCCGGGGTTAGTTTGGGACTTGATAAATTTGTGATGCTCATTAGAAATGTAAAATCTAAAGACACAATTAGGCTTAAAATATATACTGTGAGGGTATATATTTTAAAAACACAAACTTCATTGTATCTTGAAGTATTAGATTTGAAGGAGACTTTGAGTTTCTCTAGCACAGTCCCTTCAGTTTACAAACTAGAAATATTGAGAGGGTAAATGACTTGTACAGATCACCTTTTTACTACCTGTTGTGCAGTACAAAGAACTCCTTTGTGCACACAAAGAACTCCTAGACTTGGAGTCAGGAAATATAAGTTTAAAATTACAGTTATTTTTTTTTAAAGTTCTAAACCTTGTGCAAGTTATTTATCTGCTCCAAGTCTGTTTACTGTCCTCAAAAAGGGTAAGAAAGACTCCCATGTTCTGTGAGGATGTGGAAAGTTGCAAAAGTTAGACATTTCCATCGTAATAAGAAAGGTGAAGAAGCTAGAAAA